AATCTTCATATGGAAGAGGAAAAAATAATCAATAAAGATTTCACAATATCAAATGATAAAAAATTTTCATATATACATAAAATGTAGATCTAGGACATCTTCCTATTTAGGATCAATTTTTTCTTATACAAATGGTGCAGGATATATGCTTTAATAATCGCAGTTTCTAAAGATTTTTTCCACGATAGAGAGAATCGATTAACAGAATCTTGAAAGTACAAATGAAAATATAAGGATCAGTGAATTACCCTCGACCAAGCTAGGGTTTGACAGAAGACGGATCTTTAGGTGTCCGCTTGGTGCGATGGACCACTACGCGCAGTGGAACCTAAGAACACCGATCGTGGCGGTGCAATGCCGTCGGCGTTACGAATCGGCAGTAAACAGAACACCGTTTCAATGCTGTTTGATCTCGATCCAACATCAGATCTGTCCTCCAGGCCCACACCAGTCGGCTCCACCGGGGCGCTGATCCGAGCCTGGAACATGGATCTAAGGTCCCCAGCGCTGGATCAGGCCGAAAAGTCGTCAAGGTTATCCCAAATTTTTTGGCTCGAACGTCAGATTTGCGCTATTGCAGAACTGTCCCGCAAAGAGAACGTCGGCTGGCCCCTTCGATCGGACGGTGATGACATGAACGGCGGGAGGGAAAGGGGAAAGGATAGAGAGAGAACAGAGAGAAGGGAAACGAATGTTGGCCTAGATTTTCAGATGAAATAGAAGAAAAATATTTGGGTACTGGGTTTGAGGTCCTTAAGTTATAATAAATCACAAATTTTTACACTTATCATCTTCGTTTTTGTAATTTAAGAATATTTATATATTTAAGGTTTAATTACCATTTTGGTCCCTCAATTTTTTACTTTGGTATTAAAATTGTCCTTTAACTTTAAAAAATATCAAAATTATCCTTAAACTTTCATTTTTGTTACTAAAACAATCCTTCCGTCAGTTAAATAACAAATGTCACGTTAATTTGCCAGTAAATCAATTCTTTTTTTTTTCCTTAACTAATGACATGGAAAAGAAAAAAACGTAGTTGGCCTTTGAATTGGCATTTTTATTTAATTTAAAAATTAATGATATTTTTTTTTCATCAAGTCACTTCTTCTTTCTCTTTCACTTTCTCTCTCTTTTACCTTTCCTTTTCCCTTACCTCTGCGAACCCAAATCTAGGATTTGGGTTCTCTCTCAAACTTCATCTTTTTCCTTCTTTCCTTCTTCCTTTTCCTACTCATCCTTCTTCTTTCTTCTTTTTATTCTCTCTCTCTCTCTCTCTCTCTCTCTCTCTCTCAAACCCAAATCTAGGTTTTTCTCAATCATGTCGTGTTCATTTTCTATACAAAATGATAATCCAAAAAAACCTTCAAGCACGAATCACTCAAACAATAAAACTAAAGCGAACAATTTATCAGAAAAAAGAAATGCTAATCCATACAAAAGCTAAAGGATCTAAACCATAACCATTAGAAGTAAGAACAAAATTGGCAAGTAGCAATTAACTACTAACCACTGTTCCACAAAAAGAAGATTAACGATCTGAATAATTGTTTGAGAATCCTTAATAGAAACTGAATTGACATGTCCAGCATTTCAACGCTAAAGAAACAGTGGAAGAAAGAAAAATGCGATATGAAAAGGCAGAGAAACTCATCCATCCATTTCGAAAAGAAAAAAACATATAAGAAGTAAAAAATCCACAAGAAAAGCATTAGATACTGCAATCCTGCCATCATTTACAGAGCTAAAATTGAAACATGACTAAAAAAAGGATCCGAAACATGAATGGTGTTCGGGACATGAATCATGCTCTAGCTCCAGATTTGGCGATAGA